CCCGTCCCGGAGCCTCACAGGCTTACTGCGGTAGGACGGAGGGCGCGCCGGATCTGTGGAAGTGGACGATCTGCCATTTGCCGTCCCGGCGGTGCCAGATGCGGGTCTCCTCGGACTGGGCGGGGCGAGGGATCCCTCCCGCGTCCACGTACTGCGTGATGCGGATGTAGGCGATGCAGGCGGACTCGTCCCCCATCAGGTGGATGTGAGGGTTCAGGATCGTCGTGTGCACGGGCTTGCTGTTCCGAGACCACACTGGTGAGGGCACCAGGACAAGCGCCGTTAGGCGGGGGAAGGACTTTGGGAGGATCTCGCCCAGGGCAGCAGCAATGTGGGAAGGGGAGAGGCTTGGGTGAGGCTCTCTGCTTGGAGGGGATGAGTAAAAGCTCTTTGGGTGGGTTCAGGAGGGGTCCACCTAAAAAGCAGCTAGCCAAACATCTTCTCTGCATGCAGCCTGGCCCCGGTGGACCTAACAGGCTTGATTCACCTCCTGCTGGGATCTCCCAGATCAGCCAGAGATGCTCCCAAAGCCACCCTCCCCCTCCTCTCTCCAGCAAGCTGATGGAGGTCAAGACACAGCCAAGCCTGTGGGAGGTAAAAAGGGTCCCTTGAGAGGCAAAGGGGCTGCTTACGGTTTTCAAAGTAGAATCGGTGGAAATCCAGGCCTTCCACGAGGTTGCCCAGAGCCTCAGGCTCGAAGGCAGTCATCCCAGGGTCACACATCTTCCTGGTAAGGTGGGAAGGGGAGAGAAAAGGGTGAGGTTATCACCTCATACTGTTTCTGGTATGACAGCCTGAAAAACCCTAACAGTTCATGCTCGGGATGACTCCCTGAGACTGAGGAGTCTCTGCACCAAGTAATTCAAGCAGAAATCTGAGTTTACCCAGCCCACCTCGCCTCCAGCCCACTGACTGCAGCCAGGAGCTCAGCGAGGCAGGGTGACTTCTCCATCAGTCACTACCTCCAATTAAACGTCCCAAAACACTGCTATCTTCTTTGTAAAAGAGAAAAACAGCAGGGAAAAACTCAGATTCTCTGTTTTGCACCAAAATATCCCTGCTGCAATTCCCTGGGGCAGGGATGAAGACCTGCACTTGCTCAGTTGCTGCTAATTAAACAGGTTTTGGGCACAGAAGTAGTGTACTCTGAAGAGCAACAGCTCAGTGAGTAGAAAGCAGCTACTCTTCCAAGCAGGCTGTAGCAATCTGGATATAATGGAAACTACAGTTGCAATGTTCCTTCTTCCCCCATAAATCACATTTACAGTTATTCATCTTGCTGCAAACCAGAAAATGGGCTCACTGTGACAATGAGACCAGAGACATGTGGTCAGCTTAGTCTGAGAGAAGCAGCAGGTTTGAAAACTGATGTCCCCCACTTCTCTTGGATGGTGTCCATGCCCCCGCCAGCACATTAACCCCATCACCCTGCCCTGGGCAGCAGTAAAACCTCCCAGGCTGCGTTCTCACAGTGAGAGCACCCACTTCAGGAGGCTGAGCCCCCTCCCTGGTCCAAACCCACACTGGGCACACTCACGTGTAGGACTCGAAGTCACCATTGCTTATTGCTTCGATCAGCTGCTCTGTGACTTTAATGATTTCTTGCTTCCGTACTGTTGGTTTAAAGAGAAAAAGAAAATAAAAGGAGAAAAACCAGAAGTGCTGGTGTTGTAATACAGGTGATGTATCTTTTTCTCCTTAGACCGCAGGACATTGGGGGACATTGGAAATTGCCCATGGAGAAAGCAGGAGAGAGACTTGGGAGAGAGATGTGGGGAAGGGCTCTTCACCCCAGAGACAAAAGATCTACAAAGTCAGGGGAAACCTGAAAAGCTCTTTATTTTCCCAAAGAGCAAAAAGGTTGATCACCAAGTGGTGAGCGGCCCAAAAGGTGGCACAGGCTGGTCTCAGCTGCAAAGCCTTGCCAACCTGGGACCTTCTACCCCACGAATGGACAGCAGGGACTAGCCAGGACTAGCTGGGCCAAAGGATGCTCTCAGCTCCCCCTGAGACAGGAGACGAGGTTCTCAGCTGGAAGGAGGACATGTGGGTGACATGGGCAGCCACCCTGGGGGACACAAGGAGGGACCTTGTGAAAGCACCATCTGGCTGCTGCTGGGGACCCTGGGTGCTGCTGGCTCATCTGGGAAGGAGCTGGGCTTTGAGAGCAGGTTTGGCTCCCCGGCATGCAGGAGAAGCTGCCAGAGGCAACCCTGGGCTTATTAATGAGGCTTCTCCTCAAATGCAAACTGGCATCATGCTCGACTTAATTATTTTGTGTTGTGGCTAGTGAAAAGAGGGGGACCACGTTCCTGAGAGCCATTCAGAAAGGAGGAGAGGGACCTTCAGCACTTCCTGAGCACCGGCTGCCTACGTGTCTGCTCCCAGGAGCCCTTCCCCAGGAGGACAAGTGTCCCATTAACTCTCACATCAGGCCAAAGTCCATCTTGCTTTGTGCTGGGATCGATTCGTTGAGAGACTTTACAAATTAGCACGGATAAATTATTCCCTGGGTTATTCTTAGAAAGCTGGCTCTGGCAGGCGGGCGGGAAGGACGCAGGGATTCCCCTGGAGGCTTTCCCCAAAGGGCCATTTAATCTGGAGGAGCGGGCAGTTGGGCTGGGCCGCTGTCCCTGCAGATTTCTGCCACTGCTGTGCTTGCTTTCAGGAAACACCCCTAGTTTTGGGAGCCCTCCCTTTCTCACCAGCTGTGCCCCAGTTGCTCATGGCAGTGACCCAGCAGAGAAACCAGCTAAGGAGTTGCAGCAACTTCTGAAGGGCCCTGAGGCAGCTCATGGTGGTGGGTTTCACCACAGTCAGTATCTCATTAGGGGTGGCCAGGGCACCCCTCCAAAAGAGCCTGCCTGCCTGCCCCAGTGCCCTTGCTGGTACCTTTGGTGTCTTCATCCTCGATGGTGGTGTTGGTGCTCTCCGACGATTCCTGAGCAAAGAACAGAGAGGAGAGACGGGGCGGTGAGAGGGGTCTTCACCCCACACCAGATGGAGCTCGTGTGTTCGACAGCCCCCCGAGTCCGACCCCACAGCGCTCGACTGTGCCAACGGGCAGAAACCAAGGAAAACACCAGCAGGTCCAACCCGTCCTCAACCAGAGCTCTAGGGCGGCGCTGGCAGAGCCCTCCCTGACCTCCACCCCTTGTAGCCAAGGGCACAAGAGCTGGGTGGTGGAGGCTCTCGTAGGAACGGCGCTGCCCTCCCTACCGACGCCTGTGGGGACAGAGACGGGGCAGGTCCAGGGGGACTTGGTGGGTTCCTAGGAGAGTTGCCGGAGGGGCAGGGAGAGGGGCTGTGCAAGGGTGGAAGACACCATGTTGACTGTACGATAAAGAGAGAGATGTACAAATTAAACAGCGAGGAGGAGCTGGGATGAGAAAGAGGGGACTGTGCAGGAGTGAGAGACCACACTGACCGCAGAGTAGGGAGAGAAATGTACGATAAAACAGAGTGCTTCCAAGACCCACATGGACCACTGAAGGCTGAGACACAGCTCTTTCAAGAAACGGCTGAGCACTACACAGATTTAGGGGGAGGAGGGTACTGACCCCCCGTCTCTCTGCAGGAGCCCCATCAAGGCGACTCTGCTAGCGGAGCTAGAGCAATGGCTCTGCTAGCTCTTCCCAGCAGAGCCTTGCTTATGTATTACCCATAATACCCCGATGTAGGTTGGCAAGGTGTCCCATGACCATACAGTCCCCGCAGAGGCATGGAAGGTGTTTCTCCAAGGCTCCTTGGACCGATGCAGCCTGCAGACCTGAGTCAGGAGAACTGGGAGAAACGGCATGAGAACCCATCAGCAAGAACCAGGGCTGGCTTCCCACCAGCTGGTGGCCAGCAAATGCCTGCACCAACCCTGTTAATGGGGTTTGTGGGTGATACGGCTTTGAGGATGTTCCCTCCAACCCCGGTGTCCCTTCTTCCCTACCCCGAGGTAACTTCCAAAAACGGGGGAAGCTGGAACATGTGGAGAGGCCCAGCAACATCGGCATTGAGGAAGACGAAGGACACTCACCATTAACTGAACGCTGGAACTGGACTTTCTTTTCTGGAAAAACAAGGAGAAGAGATGGAACAGGAAGAGACACAGAGTGAGAAAGGCAGAGAGCGGTACGAGAGAGGCAGCAGCTCCTGAGCCACCCTTCGTGGTCCTGGTGGGAGGGCAAATGGAAGGCACAGGGGGGCAACCTGGTGCTGCTGTAGGGATGTGCTGCTGGCTGCCGTGCTGGTGGTGCCGTGCCAGCTCCCTCCCCACCTGCCTGCTGGCACCTGTCTCTCCTGACCTGCCAGAACCTCTGGTGTTGCTCATCCCAAGGACCGGGCTAGTCCCAAAGGGAGTCCTCTGGGAGTCAATGACCACTCTGGTGGCTTTGTGACCAGGCCAACAAGCTCACAGGAGCAGGAGTGTGACGCTGGAAAGCTAAGGCAGCTCCACCATCTGTACCGCCCTCTGCCCAGTGTCAATGCTGTACTGGTGGTTACAGACTCTGGAGCACTTCTGGGTGCACCTGCCCATGCTGCTGAACTAGTGTAGAGAAGCTCAGTTAGCTCTGGACCTAGACCAGTACCAAGCTGGCTGGTTTAAGGCCAGCATGGCTATTGCTACTTGACCCCGCAAGGCTGGCACGCCGCGTGAGAAGCTGTCCTGAGCACATCTCCAGTGCTTTAAACCAGGACAAATCTCCAAAGAGAAGACCTTAGGCATGCACATATTGATCTCCATCCTTCACCACTAGCACCACATTTAAAGGCTTTTGGGTTGGATGACCCCACTGCCACATTTCTGCTTGCAATCTCAAACAACTTCTGAACTTTCCTTCCTCACTCTGCTCTGCTCCTTGTCTCCATCTTCAATCTAGACAGGGGGACATGCACGCTGGCCTCATGCCCTTTCTCCAGCTCCTGGGGGATGAATCACAGCAGGTGACAGGGAGCACCCGTGTGAGTGCCAAATAACAAAATAATCAAACCCCAGCATATTTAAAGGAGGCACCAGCTCTGCCTGCCCTGCAGAGGGAAAAGCAGCACATACCCTGCAAACCTCTCAGAAAAGTCCACGGAGTGACCCATCAGGGTGTGTGGGTGGGCTGCAGCATAACAACTGCTAACTCCCATTCCCCCCCTTGCTCCTTCCAGATCCTAACTGGCTCCCAGCAGCCGAGCTCCCCCTGTGCCAGTGCAGCTCTCCCCCCTCACGCTAGGTCCTACTTTAATCCTCGCCCCTCCTTCTCCGGAACAACACACGCCCAAAAGGGCAGAGTGAGCTGCAGTATTTCGGAAGGAACTTCACGGGGAAACAGAGCTGCTGGAGCTGGGCTGTGGGCAGGAAGGGCTGACAGCTTCTGCTGCCCAAGGAGATGAGACGGGGCAGTAAACTGCGGAAATTTCAGACGGAACAGAATGCAACACAAAGCAGTGACCGCGTCGAGCCTGGACATACAGGAACAGGATGCAACACGGGGCAGCGAGCTCAGTAATTTAGGACGGGACAGGATGTGACACGGGGCAGTGATTTCATTAGTTTACAATGTGACGAGATGGGACATTACACAGGGCAGTGAAGGTATCGTAGCTGCTGGGACCCAAAGACATGCCACAGACCCCAGAGCAGGGCTCGAGGGGGATTTTTCGTCCTGTGAATACTTTTAGCAGGGGAGGAACCTCCTCAGGAGGGTGAGTTTCAAACCCTCTGAGCCTGGGCTAGCACCATCCTGGGGCTGGGGGGCTGTGCAGGCAGGCTGGAGGGCAGCACCAGCTACCTGAGGAGCTTTGGGCAGGAATGGCACAGGTGGTTGCCTGGGACCTGCCAGCTCTCCTAGGGACAGTCAGTGGAGCAGGTTTCTCCAAATGAGGACTCAACTCTTCTGACAATGAACCGTACCACATGGCCTGATTTACAGCCCTGCTCTGAGCAGGCAGGACCTTTCCCTTCTCACCTTCCCACCCACCTGAGGCAGGTTTCCAGGTTCCTCCTTTGCTCCTCCAGCAAGATGGAAAGATATGAACACTGCCCAGCGACGCCCTGGCACCTCCCAGCTGGCCATGGTGGCCATGAAAGCTTCAGCCAGGGCAGCCAGTCTCCCTGTGCCCCTGTGAGGGGGTTACGCTGCAGATCCCCCCAGGCTGAGCAGGGGAATGAGAGGTGGGAATGGTGACGCTGAAGGTGGTCAACACAAGCAACCCGTTGGGAATGAGCTGCCTTCTACTTTGTCTTCTCCTCCTCTACCTTCCTGGTCATCTAGCCAGGCTGTCTCACCTCCATTTGTTGGAAAGGGGGTGATGGAAGAGCAAACTCATTTTCCAGTCTGTACATCCTCCTGAGCTGAGTGTTGGCTGGTAGGCTTCACTCAGGGTGAAGCCTCATTCGCTGCTCCCCGCTCACCAGCAAAAGCCTGGGGACTGGGGATACAAACCAGCCCCTCTGATCCCACTCTGGAACCAGACCCTCCTTGCTTAGTTTCAGTGATGGGCCAGAAATCTGTTTATCCAAATGAGCTATTCTGCTATGACAGCAAGTGCCCCTCTTCCCAGGATAGCGTCTGCCCTCAGAGCTCCTCTGAAGACAAAGAGGAAGCATCGTCAGCAAGCTGGGCTGGCAAATGATCTTCTACCACTGCATCATCCCTGCAATGCCAGAGATGAAATTCAAGGCTGTCCTTTTCTGCTGGAAGACTAGATTCAGGATTGTGCCCCATGAAGCCTCTCCATCCTGCATTGTCTCCTTCTACAGCTTAAAAAGGCATCTCCTGATTGCTCTTGCCTGTGTTCCAGCAGGTCATACAAAGTCAGCTCTACCTGTGGTGTCACTTCTCAGGTGACTCCCAGGAGCAGCAGAAGACAGGCCAGCAGTGGCTGGCAGATGGGTTGCTGTGACTCCCATGGAACTTGTCTCCTCTGTGCCAGCACTGTTGTCCAAAACTAGCAATCCTGCCCTGGAAGCCATGCGATATGCACGTGACACCGTGGCCCAAAGCAAAGTCCCCTCATAGCAATGCAGGCCATCAGCTTCATGTTGCAGAATAACACTGCATGGCCAGAATAGTCTTTTGTTGAGCTGAGCCCAGATTTGGCGGGTTGTGTATGGTCTCAAACCTTCC